GGTTTAGGGTTTAGGGTTTACTACCTTAAGAACCCCAAACCCACTTTTTTGTAGGTTCTTATTATACACCCTAATATGGGATTTATAGGGACCCTACAAAAAAGTAGGTTTTGGGTTCTTAAGGTAGGTAATGTTATAGGACTCTTAAAAAAGCTTCGGGTTTAGGATCTTAGGGTTTGGGGTTTTTGGGAAGTTTAGGGTTTCATAGCATTCAGGAAGTGTAAGGCTTAGGACTTCTGTTCAAAGTCCGAAACTCCGAAATCCGTAAACCTTAAGGCCTAAACCCTAATCCCTACACCCTACACTCTAAACCCCTAACTCCTAAACCTCTAAGCCACTAAACCCTGACGACCTGATCCCCTAAGCACTTGGGCAGCTCACCTTGAACACGAATACTGAAGGTGCAGGGTTTAGGGTTTAGGGTTCAGGGTTTAGGGTTTAGGGTTTAGGGTTTAGGGTTTAGGGGTTTGGGTTCTTCAGGGTAGGGTTTCACAGAGTCTGTAAGGTTTTAGAGACGCCGTGATGATTAGACTAAAGTTTCGGGAGCTTTCTTTACACTACTATAACAAGCAATCATTCATGGTTCAGGCCAGACCCCTAGATGAAGACTCAAACCGTGAAGATACGGAAGTCAGCGCTCAGTCTATGTTCCATCATGCTGCCACGTTATTTCAATATACGGCTCTTTGTATTTACAAAGGGGGTTTAGTGGGTATATCATAACCCTAAACCCTAAATCCGAAACCCCAAACCCGAAATCCTAAAGCCTCAACCCCTAAACCCTTAACCCCTAAACGCTAAACCCAAAAACCCAGACCCTAATATGGGAGACACCGCTCACCTTCTCCGCAGCCATCTCTTCTTCGCTCTTGAATGGCTTTTCTGCCTGTGCGGGGGATGCTAGGGGCTGAAGGCGTAGGGTTTAGGGTTCAGGGGTTTAGGGTTTAGGGTTTAGGGTTTAGGGTTTAGGGTTTAGGGTTTAGGGTTTAGGGTTTAGGGTTTAGGGGTTTGGGTTTAGGGTGTAGGGTTCTCTCTTGCAGCCCCTTCCCAGCAAGACTCCTCTCAGTAAGCGATCAGAAACAGTAACCATTTCCATTCTCGCATCGAGCCCCTTAAACCCTAAACCCCAAACCCTAAACCCTAAACCCTCTCCGGGACCTCCTGAAGCTTCTTGATCGCCTCTTCCACCTCCTTCAGCTTTGCTTCCGAGTCCTGTGCAAGGCTTTGGGGTTTTGGGTTTTAGGGCTTAAGGGTTTTAGAATAATATAACATGCTGTGAAGATAATAATGCCCGAATCGCAATGCCTCATGCAGGTCACTTGATGCGAAGCCTGCTCTCGAATACACGAAAGGACAACCCGAACCTCAAAAGACCCCAAAGCGACGGGCCGGCTAAGGTTTCAGGTTTAGGGCTTATAGAGTTTAGGTTTTGGGTTTAGGGCTTAGGGCTCAAAGAGTTTAGATGTTGGGGTTTAAAGTTTAGGGCTTAGAGAATTTAGGTTTTCGGGTATACGGTTTAGGGTTTTGGTTTCCTGCAGGCTGCACGGTTTCGGGCTTAATCAAAGGCTTTGAATTCACCATAAACCCAGAAAAGAATCAGGGTTTAGGGTTTAGCCCTAAACCCCAGACCCTAAACCCGAAACCCAAACCTTAAGCCCTAAACCTTAAGGTCCTTGACGATGCCATCCACCTGCACCTTCTCAGACCGCTCGCCTGGGCCACTCCCAGGATTCTTGTCGGGCGCCCGGTCTTCTGAGGTTCAGGGTTTAGGGGCTTTGGGACGCTGTAGGGCTTCTAAACCCTGAACACTTAAACCCTGAACCCTCAACACTGAACCCTAAACCCTAAACCCTGAACCCTAAACCCTGAACCCTACCCTGAACCCCAAACCCCTGAGCCCTGAACCCTAGGCCCTAGTAGCCTAACTCTGAAGCTTTGGGGGGGCGGGGGGGTGGGGTGGGGCCGAAATTGAAGTGGAACGATGTGAAACGCATCAACATAGCGAAAACTGGCCAAGGCATGTTCGAGGCTTCGATGGTGCTGCTCGTGCCGTGGTGATGGCACTTGTACTGGTACTGGTGGAGCTGATGCTGCTGGACCTGCTGGAGTGTCGCTTTTAGGGTTTAGGGTTTAGGGTTCTGCTTGCGCAGGTGGTGTAGCTACTGCTTTGCCTGGCGGCTTTTCGGGGGAGGTGGTAGTGTGTCGGCGGCGGCATGGTCAGCGGTATTGATTGTTTGTGCTGTTATGGTCGCCTTACTGAACTGTCAAAAGACCCCTGATAGCAACCCTCATTATAGAACCCTTTATATACAAAGGTCCCATACATACAATAGACAGACAGTAACCATAAACCCTATATACACACTAAACCCCCTAAACCCTAAACCCTGAACCCTAAACCCTAAACCCTAAACCCCTAGTGCAGTGGGTTAACCCTATGCCATCTCCAAAGCATACCCCAGGCCAGGGCCCCCAGCGCATGCCGCCGACAGTCTTGTCCAGAGATTCCTGAGAAAGGCAGTAAAGACCCATTTAAGGTTAACCCTAAGCCCTAAACCCTAAACCCTAAACCCTAAACCCTAAACCCTAAACCCTAGGGTTTGGGGTCTAGGGTTTAAGGTTAAGCCCGAAAGAAGCAAGCAAACCCTAACGGCCCCAAGCCTGGGAGGGAACTTTAGGGGCTGCTGGCCACGGAAGGACCTTGACGGTTTAAGGCTTAGGGTTCAGGGTCTGGCCGAACGTTCTGGTAGCAGCTGAATAGCAAAAACACCCGACTTGGTCTCGCAGTTGGGGATTTGGGGCTTCCGGGCTGCAAGGTTAGAGTTTAAGGTTCAGGGTTTAGGGTTTAGGGTTTAGGGTTTAGGGTTTAGGGTTTAGGGGGTTTAGGGGGTTTAGGGTTTAGTTTAGGGTTTAGTTTAGGGTTTAGGGTTTAGGGCTGCCAGTTGCAAAGAGCGGCTTCAGCAATCGAGCTTTCAATCTTCGCAAACCGAAACCGTGAAAGACGGCGCGTTTGGGCACTCTGGGGCGGGGCTTTCCTGAGCCCCAGCCCGAAACTGTTAGGCTCCTGTGCTGCTTGGATGATACCGCACAGTGATCACATCGGATATATACTTTGACACATGTGGGGGTTTCCGAAAATTTGATTTTGGGATGCTTATAATAAGGAGCCTACTATTTAGGGTACTATATTAGGGTCCCCTATTTTCGGAAACCCCCCATATCTACTCCTAACCCTAAACCCTAAACCCTAAACCCTAAACCCTAAACCCTAAACCCTAAACCCTAAACCCTAAATAGCTGTCCGCATGGATTTGGAGCCTCCAGTCACATGTCGTTGGCTTTGCCTACTACGTAGAAGCTCTACTTTGGAATAACCTTCCTGGCACTTGGGGGTTTCCGAAAATAGGGGACCCTGATATAGTACCCTAAATTAGTAGGATCCTTATTATAATGACCCCTAAATAAGGTACCCCTTATTTTCTGAGACTCCCACTTATGTTAGGCCCTGTAATAAGAGCCACAAAGAAGCTCGAAGTTTACGGCTCTAAGGCCCTAGCTGAGTTACAAACCCTAAACCCTAAACCCGTAAACCCTAAACCCTAAACCCTAAACCTTAACCTCTAAACCCTAAACCCCAAAAAGTAACCTCGACCTATATAGCTTCCGTGGCTCTTTCGGTTTGGTCCCGGTCAGCTGAGCCATGAAGGCCATTGAGCGCTAAAACCCTAGACCTCAAACCCCAGCCCGAAACCTAGGGTTTAGGGTTTAGGGGTTTAGGGTTTAGGGGTTTAGGGGTTTAGGGGTTTAGGGGTTTAGGGTTTAGGGTTTAGGGTCTAGGGACCGTAGCCTGAAACCCAACCCATCAACTGGTGCGCCTTACTGTAGAGCCCTGCGTTGGACGCCGAAGATAAACAGGACTAAGGTTTCGGGTCTAGTGCGTATAATACATAGGGCCTATAAGGGGATCTTTCTACCACCTGATTCAGACCGGAAACCCTGAACCCTACACTAGATGCCTAGAAGACGCCCTAAACTCTAAACCCTCAACCCTAGACCCTAAACCCTAAACCCTAAACCGAACCAATGTAGAACACTCAAGAAGCCCTAGACCTTACACCCTGAACCCGCAACGTAGACACCTGGTTAACAAAAAAAACTACCCCAAAAGGGATTCAAATCTGGATCCTTATATAATTCTAAAGCCCTGAAAGTCACGGAGCTGATTAATGAGGAGTGTGTGTGTGTGTGTGTGTTCACCCCCTAAACCCTAAACCCACAAACCTACCCTGGCGCGTCTCCTGGGTCTCGTCCAGTTTCGGTCTCAGCTTCTCCACCTCCTGGACTGAGGGGCTGGGTAACCAGCCGCAAAAAGGCTAACCCCGGAGTTATGGTAGGGTTACATATGTGTATGTATATATATATATATGTGCAAATTTTGTATGTTCTATTTGTGCATTTACTGATGTACTTGACTTTGGATTGGTTGATTGAGATATACATACATATATATATATACACACATACATACATACATACATACATACATACATACATACATACATACATAACATACATAACATACGAATATGCAGTGTATACAAAAACAACATATTGTGTGTGTGTTCACGCCCTAGCTGGAATGACGAGGGAAGCCGCTTTGGGGGGCTTTCGGGTGTGGGGGTTGGCGGTTAGGGTCTGCTTTGATTCAAAATAGAGGCGGTATTACTAGAACTATAAGGTTTAGGGTTTAGGGTTTAGGGTTTAGGGTTTAGGGTTTAAGATGGAACCTTCAGGAATAGTATTCGTCTTTATTCGGCTTATTATACGGATTATCCCTGACATGCTTAGACGGGACTTTTCGAAAGCAGAACCACCGACCGCGCTTTGGGAATTCAGGAAGTTGAGTCAGGGCCGTGCTCGCGTACATGCACACATTGGTCCCGTCTCGGAAAAGAAGCGTCCGCATGCGGTGTGATATCAGAGCATGTCGGTGATTGGATCATCAGCATCTTCGCCACCGGCATCATCAATCAGTATCATCATCATCATCATCATCATCACCATCACCAACATAATGATTCGTTGATACCTAACGAAATCGCATGATATCGCATGTTGAATGTAATACCGCCTTGAGTACACAGTGCGGGCGTTGTTTAAAGCCCCTTCGACAACGAAGTCTAGGCTCCGGATTCATTGCCGAGATTCAGGGAGAGCCAAATATTTTTTGGATAGTGAATGCCAGTGGACGCGGAAATTCTCAGCATGACTTTCTTGAGGCATCTGGCAGTACACTCTACAGCTAAAACCCGAAACCCTAAACCCTCCTAAAACCTAAACCGCAATTTTTTAGAGGCTGAATACCCTGGCCCAAAAGAAGTTGACCTTTTGACTTGTAGCAAGATTGCACACTTAAACAAGCCCCAAAAAGGGTGAAGGAGTAAAGGTTGTCCAGTCAGCCCCTAATATCTTCTTGGTTTGGATACGAACCCCACAGGCCACCCCTGTTCCGCCAAACCCTAAACGCTAAACCCTAAACCCTAAACCCTAAACCCCAAACCCTAAACCCTAAACCCTACCAGCCTTGGCAGCGCTGGGCGTGACCCGCATCTGCATGTCCAGGAACCGCATCGCCTGAGCGCGGTTCGGGGTTAGGATTTCGAGTTTAGGGTTTCTAGGAATCGATGGAATACTGAGTTTCGGCTGTGTTGTTCGGGTGGCAGAATATACGCTACACCTTTGTCAACCTCAGAATTTGGGCGCTTGAGAGGGAACCGGTTTCGCTATGAACCTGATAGCATGGTTACGAAGTCAACTCGGGCTGAGGATTAAGGATTACCCATGCCCTAGACCCCGAGACATTTATTTACGTGAAACCAAGGGCTTTCTCATAAAAAGCCTTAACACTGCAACAGGCCAGCCGGATGAAGCCCCGTGAATACGAATCCGGCACTGAGGCTGCTGCGGACTTTACCGACGCTTGGACCTCCGCAGCAGCCTGTTCTGCTGCCTGCGCTTCGCATTCCGCAAGCGGGGCCTGAATCCTAAACCCTAAACCCTAAGCCCTAAACTCTAAAGGACTCATAGGGGTTTAGAGTTCAGGGGCCCTCAACCCTAAGCCCTAGAAATCCTACACCCTGAACCCTCAATCCTGAGTCCCCTAAACCCTCGGACAACAAACTGCGACACAAAGAGCCAGGGGTTTAGGGTTTAGGGTTTCGGGTTGAGAGTTTAGGGTTTAGGGGTCTGTTAGGGCCTTATAAGCAATATTTAGGATAGGGATATCCCATATAAGTGCACTTATAATGAAGCCCAGTAAGGTAGGGATATCCCTATAAAATGCTTATGCTTACGTCCTTTTTGGCTTCCTAAGTTTAGGGTTTGGGGTTTCATAGTCCGAACGCCAAGCAAACCCCGACAAAAACCACACATGGAAACAAACTGGTCGGTGGGCATTCATGATCCGTTCACAAGCACGAATGAAATCTGGAAGTCTACTGCGGCTCCATTCTTGTTTAGGGTTTAGGGTTTAGGCTTTAGGCACGATTGTGCTGCACAGTCTGCTTCAAGGCTTTATATAGCACTCAGGTTGAACGAGGCCAACAATGAGCTGAGAGCGTGGCAGGTGTGCAGCATGCTGCTCAATCTCGTAGCCAAGACGCCGAGGTGAATTTGCCACACCTTCACGCGTCCTTTCTGGATCTAGCTCCATACCGAAGATCCTCTCGATTGAACCGCTGAGCCAACATAAATGTGAGTTGATGGCCCGTCATCACTCTCGCAGGAGTCGTCAGCCAAAAGCCACATGCGTTGAGATGCCATTGCACAGGTCTCAGCGTAAACCTCCAGCTCCGTCCTTAAGCGTGCAGCCTGAGTCAATGTGCTTTTGATCTCTTGGGCATAGCCCAAGAGCCTTGACTGTAGCCACCTGCTCCTGAAACGAACCAGGTTACCTTCAGGCTTCGCGACAAGTTCACCGAGATTCCAGTGGAGTGATATCATTTTTTGATGAAGCAAACTTGACACACACACACACACATAGCTCGTATTTCTAGAGACACACCGGCTTTTCACCTTTTCACTCTTAGGGGTTCAGGGTTTACGGCTTCAGGGGTTAGGGGTTTAGGGGTTTACGGGTTGGTGGTCAGGGATTTCGGGCTTAATCAAGTGGTTTCGGCGGTTGGGGTCCAGGGTTTCATCCTAAATCCTAAATCATCCTAAACCATCCCACGCCATCCTAAATCCTAAGGATCGAATGCCATGCTGGCAGTGCGTTGGGACCGACCCCGCTGCCTTTGTTGTGCCGGAAGCTCAGGGCCTAGTGGGAGAATCTCTGTCGGGTTTAGGGCTTACGAGTTTCAGGGTTTAGGGGTTTAGAGTTTAGGGTTTAGGGTTTAGGGTTTAGGGTTTAGGGTTTAGGGAAACCACATGACAACCCCGTGCCTTCGAGATCCCGTTTAAGAAGTCTTGAACCAAAACCCCATGCCGACAGCCTTGAGCGTCTTCTGCGCATGGTCCTTGCTGTCCTTCGGAAAGTCACCCTAGAATCCCAGTTACGCTCATGCTGGGATACTGGGCGATGGGTATGAGCCTAAACCCTAAACCTCAAGCCCTAAACGGGAAACCCCACACCCTAAACACTGAACCCTAAACCCTAAACCCACGACAAGGTCTAACCAAGTTTTCAGTAACAATAACCTGGCGTATACAGAGGCCTGAGTCACGGAAGAATTGCACTAGGTTTGCGGGACATTTTTGTAAAGTTATATTCCCTGAACCCCAAACCCCTAAACCCTAAACCCAAAGTAGTTCTTCCTACTCACACTAAGCCCTGTAACCCCACTTATAGAAACACCTGCAGAAAACCTTTATTATAGTGAATCCCAGAAAGTTGGAACATGGATTTAGGATGATTAACGCTGGGATTCCCGCTACCTTTCCTCAAAAGGCATGAGGATAATGACGTCCCAACCCTAAGCCCCAAACCCTAAACCCTAAACCCTAAACCCTAAACCCTAAACCCTATATACCCTAAACCCTATACCCTAAACCCTTTACCCTAAACCCAAAGCCTCTAAGGGCAGCAAGCTTCTATGTTCCGCTATCGGGTTTCAAGAGTTAGGCTGGAGGGCTTCTGGCTACAACCTCAAGGTGTTTAGGGTTTAGGGTTTAGGGTTTAGGGTTTAGGGTTTAGGTGTATAGTCTGTGGCACAAAAGACCTACCTTTTAAAAGGAAACATATCTAGAAACCACAATAAGGAACCCTAAGGTAGGTCTTTGCGGCTACAGGTAGGGTTTAAGGTTTTGGGTCTAGGGTTGAAACATCGATTTGGGATGAGTAGTGTTGGGATTCCTATAAGGATGTTCCAACCCTAAACCCTAAACGCTAAACCCTAAACCCTAAACCCTAAACCCTAAACCGGCTTCTACGTTGGGTGGCAGGCTGGAGGATTTGGGACTACGAGCTTAGCGTCGCGTAGGCTTCAGGATTTGGGGCTTCAGGTTTTAGGGTTTAGGGTTTAGGATTTAGGGTTTAGGATTTAGGGTTTAGGATTTAGGGTTTAGGAGCTTCGTCCAGGATTTGGGGCTTGGGGGATTTGGAGTTTAGGGCTTTAGGGCTTTGGGTCCAGGAGTCTTCGCTTTGGTGTCCGGTTCACGGCCTTGGTTTCGGACCCTAAAGCCAAAGCCCTAAACCCTAAACCCTAAACCCCTGAAGCCCCGAACCCCTGAAGCCCCAAACCCTGAACCCGAAACCCAGATCGCTCAGATCTCAGAGTTCTGCCCTGGCGGCTGCACTGGCGACCCGAATAACTCGACAAGACCCTAAATCCTAAACTCTAAACCCTAAACCCCAACTCCTAAACGCACACCTGACACTTGAAGAGCTGTGACTTCTGTTTTCAAGACTAACTCCATGAACACCGTAAGCTCTAAAGCGTGAAACCTTTTCGCCGCCCTTCGCACCCTTAACCCTTTCTGCTTCACAAACCCGCAAAATTCTGTACGGATTTCCGCACCGAACCCTAAACGGTATATAAGACCTAAATGCATGTAGCATATAGCATATGTACATGTACATACATGTTTACATGTACATACACATCTACACCTACAGTACATCTACACGTATACATATGTGAAAACATACATACACATGTGTATATATAAAATAAGTAGCCAGGTAGGTAGGTAGGTAGGTAGGTAGGTAGGTAGGGCAGGCAGGCAGGCAGGCAGGCAGGCAGGTAGGTAGGTAGGTAGGTAGGCCGGTAGGTCGATAGATATAGACCGATGGAGACATAGAGAGATGGAGAGATAGAGAGACAGAGAAATAGAGAGATAGAGAGATAGAGAGATAGAGAGACAGAGGGATAGAGAGATAGAGGGATAGAGAGATAGAGAGATAGAGGGATCGAGAGATCGAGAGATCGAGAGATCGATAGATAGATGGATAGATGGACAGATGGATAGGTAG